ATACCATCAACAGTGAGTGAAGACCTTTGACCTCACAGGTACGTAACAAAGACTGAGATGAACTTTAGTTATTGAACAAATACTGATGTATTGACCCCCCCCCCCCCTTTTAAGGGGGAGAACTAGCACTGTTGGAGGCTGACCCACGGTACATGTATCACCTGGTCCCACCCCTGGTGCTGGGACCAGCAGCTGGGTGCTACCTTTTTCTGCACTGTCTCCGATGATGATCTTTCCACCTCGTTTGCTGGTCTTCTCCACAGACAGGGCCGTACTCAGACCCTGCTCGTGCTTCCCCAGACCCTGACCTTCTTTGAAGCCGTACTTCTGCATGATCTTGTGGGCCACCGTCCCACTGTGGACAGAAGACAGACAGGACAGGGTTAAAAGACAGGGCCATGATCACTGTCTGCAGACGATGGTTCCAGCTCAGTACCATCAACAGGATCTGGTTTTTATTTGACCCTCACTGACCTTAAGACAGTGGACAGAGGACAGTGGACGTGGTTTTGAGAATGAATCAGTAACATGATATTTGCTTTGGTCAGAAACTTCCAAGACTCAGAGGTCAGAGGTCATCTAACAACATCTGATCAACTTCTCCGGTGTGTTCCCGTCCGTGTCACCTACCCCATGTTGGCCAGGAAGGAGCTGGTTGGTCCGGGCGGAGAACGTGGACGCTCTGTGTCTTCGTACAGCGGTGGAGGAATGGCCACCTTAGAACCTCGAGGAGGACGACTGTCATCGTCAAAGGGGTAAGAAGACGGACCTGAACACATGACAACAGTCAACCACCACTGTCTCCACCCCCAACCACCACTGTCTCCACCCCCAACCACCACTGTCTCCACCCCCAACCACCACTGTCTCCACCCCCAACCACCACTGTCTCCACCCCCAACCACCACTGTCTCCACCCCCAACCACCACTGTCTCCACCCCCAACCACCACTGTCTCCACCCCCAACCACCACTGTCTCCACCCCCAACCACCACTGTCTCCACCCCCAACCACCACTGTCTCCACCCCCAACCACCACTGTCTCCACCCCCAACCACCACTGTCTCCACCCCCAACCACCACTGTCTCCACCCCCAACCACCACTGTCTCCACCCCCAACCACCACTGTCTCCACCCCCAACCACCACTGTCTCCACCCCCAACCACCACTGTCTCCACCCCCAACCACCACTGTCTCCACCCCCAACCACCACTGTCTCCACCCCCAACCACCACTGTCTCCACCCCCAACCACCACTGTCTCCACCCCCAACCACCACTGTCTCCACCCCCAACCACCACTGTCTCCACCCCCAACCACCACTGTCTCCACCCCCAACCACCACTGTCTCCACCCCCAACCACCACTGTCTCCACCCCCAACCACCACTGTCTCCACCCCCAACCACCACTGTCTCCACCCCCAACCACCACTGTCTCCACCCCCAACCACCACTGTCTCCACCCCCAACCACCACTGTCTCCACCCCCAACCACCACTGTCTCCACCCCCAACCACCACTGTCTCCACCCCCAACCACCACTGTCTCCACCCCCAACCACCACTGTCTCCACCCCCAACCACCACTGTCTCCACCCCCAACCACCACTGTCTCCACCCCCAACCACCACTGTCTCCACCCCCAACCACCACTGTCTCCACCCCCAACCACCACTGTCTCCACCCCCAACCACCACTGTCTCCACCCCCAACCACCACTGTCTCCACCCCCAACCACCACTGTCTCCACCCCCAACCACCACTGTCTCCACCCCCAACCACCACTGTCTCCACCCCCAACCACCACTGTCTCCACCCCCAACCACCACTGTCTCCACCCCCAACCACCACTGTCTCCACCCCCAACCACCACTGTCTCCACCCCCAACCACCACTGTCTCCACCCTCCTACACAGGGACGTCCACATACATGAACATATAGGACTGATGTGACAGGACACGAGGACATGTGTGGACCAATCACTGTGTGACAATCTGATGGATGTGAAGGGACCTACCATCTCTGTCCACAAGTGAAGACGGGGGGGCAATGGCTGCTCCACCCAAACCTGAAACAGGACAGAAGGGCAGATGGACATGAGGACGGTCAGACCGGGACATGTGACACTTCAATCGTCGACTTGATTCAGTCAAACAAACACCCACTCCTTTTCCTCCGCTCTTTTTCGTACTCCTCGTCTTCATCCGAGTCTTCCTCTGTGGTGGGGAACCTGGAGAACCCACTGGGGGCCCCGCCCTCATGTTTGTCTTTTTTCTTCCTGAGACACAGAAGAGCTTTGGTTAAAATGGGATTCAAACCTGTGATCTTCCCAAAACAATAAGGGTTTTTTCCAGGAGGGCTGGGGCTGGACTTCAAACCCAGTTGGAGCCAGAGTTTGAGCCACAGCCTGAGGTGTCAGTGAAGAAACACTGCCGTACTTCTCCCGCTCCTCTATCTCCTTCTGACGCTCCTGCTCCCTCTGCCGCTGCCGCTCTTCTCTGTGTCGCTTCACTACCTTCTCATAGTCGTTGGGGAACATGGGGTCGTACTCATCAGCCAATGGGATCAGGACATCGCAGGAGGAGAACCCGCTTGGTATGGCATCCTGACAGAGCACAAACACACAGAGGTCAGCCTTTAGTAATCCACCGACCTCACAGCCAGGAGACGACAGTGGACGCTCACAGACGCCGTCCAAGGAGCAAACACAAGTGTTTTCACATCGTGACACACACACACACACACGATTTGATTTGATTTAAACACACACACACACGATTTGATTTGATTTAAACACACACACACACGATTTGATTTGATTTAAACACACACACACACGATTTGATTTGATTTAAACACACACACACACGATTTGATTTGATTTAAACACACACACACACGATTTGATTTGATTTAAACACACACACACACGATTTGATTTGATTTAAACACACACACACACACACACGATTTGATTTGATTTAAACACACACACACACGATTTGATTTGATTTAAACACACACACACACACACGCACACTGTGTGTACTGACTTTGAGTCCGGAGGCGGCGTGAGGAGGCGTGTCTGTGATCTGTCGGTCGTCACTGGAGCCTCCTCTTTTCAGATCAATAACAGGAGCCAGGACGGTGGACTGCTTGGTCCGCTGGGTCTGAAACAGGGACAACATCAGGAACAACAGCTGTGGACCAAGAGACGAGGAGAACCCAGAGGTTTGGCCACCTCGGTCAGTCTGACGTACGAAGCCACACGCGGACGACTCCATGAATACAGACCATAACAGAAGTAACAAGGAAGGTTCCAGAACACAAAGTCAGACGTCTAATGTGTGACCACTGTTAGCTGTCAATCATTCATCTGCACAGAACACGGTTCTCCAGTGTGTGGCCCAGTGTGTGGCCCACTGTGTGGCCCAGTGTGTGGAGTGTGGAGTACAGTGTGTGGTCACCTTGGCCTGGGTCAGAGCCGCCTTCTTGACCTTCAGCTGGGACTGCAGCAGTTTGAAGTTCTTGGACCAGCCTTCAGTCTTGGTGTCACTGGCTCCAACTCCCAGGTCATCGTACAGCGACATCTTCCACTGTTCGCGCCACTTAGCTACGTAAACACACAGTTGACATGTATAGCTTCATTTCCCGATTCGATTGTTGCTGAAGGGTTGAAGTTGAACTTTGGAGAAATGTAGAAACAATTTGATAAACATTGGCTCATTATATGGCATGCTAAGCTAACGTCATCTTATACCGGGTTTTACCACGGTGTTTCGGTGCACCGATATCAGAGGTATACGAACACAAACACACCACGAGTGTCCCACTAGTGTTTGCTAAGCTAACAGCAGCTCGTGCTTAAATCCCTGCCCCTCAGGGAAGACACTAAAGTGTCCAACGAGTGTCCAGACAACTGTCTTCAAACTCACCGGTGGAAGAAGAAGATGAACATTAACTGTACGCGTGTTTACGTTTTGTTTTAAAAAAAAAAACTCTCTCGGTACCGCTGATGTACTTCCTCCGTGAGCGTGACCGAGGAAGCGCTGCGGCACAACAAAAGACCACAAACGGTTTGCACAGGCTCCTTACTCTTGCGCCACACAGCGGTGGGAGGACTTAACGCTATTGCAGTTTGAAAAGCGCGGTAATAAATATGAAATAAACTTAGGTGCAGACAAACCAACACGTAAAGATGATCGTCGGGCGTTGTTTGATTTAAACACACACACACACGATTTGATTTGATTTAAACACACACACACACGCATTACATTTGTTATTGTATGTAACGATGAACTTCTAATATTAGTAATTGTTCTCTGTTTGGTGGATAATCTCTTAGTTAACAGGTTGTTATAGACCAGGTGCTTCATCACACACTAACTGCCCCCCCAACCCCTTTCCCCCGTCTCCCACCCCCGAACCAGATTAGGTGGGCTTCCGGTGTCAGAGCAAAAAACTCCATATGACTGTATGTCATAAACCAGGTGAAACTGTCGTACGAACATCCGTTTGTAGTGAACACAGATATTCGTTAATTGTTATTAATTACTATACTGTACTATTAGGTGTAGTAAATATTATATTTGTTATTAATGTTTTTGCCACTGCGTAAAATTATATAAAATGTACTGCCCTCGTTTTTTGCCCCAAGTACAGTTGAACCGCCGCCACTGCTGACGTTTTTGCACAACGTTTCCGCAGCCTCTAGAGGGCGTGGTCAGCTGTAGAAAGTGAAAGAGAACGGCAGCAGCAGTGTCGTCCGGAGGGCTCACAGTCAACATGGTTCTGGTCGGTTCGTTGCTCAGCTGATGCCAACGTAGTGAACATGGTCGAAGGTTGACCACATGGACCGGACTAGGCTGTCGGTGTCTGTCTGTGGTGTCACGGTCTGTCTTCTCCTGGTCTGTTCTCAGGCTCACAGTAAGTAGAACGTTCTTTAAAACCGTTGTTCCTATTTTACTGTCATTGTTGACATCAGAAACGTGTGACTGGTTTAAAGAACAACTGTGAAAAGTCAGAGATGTTTGAATGTGAGTCAAAACTCTTCAGAAGTCACCGTCACTTTCTGTGATGATGTTACAGTCGAATGTCAACAGAGGGAGAGAGGTTCGAAGACAAAAACTCTTTCACATTCACTTCTGCTTCTGGAACATTCTCCACCCTGAACAACAGGTCCACAGACTGGCGCGTTCCTCCCTGTCTCCCTGGAGAGGGGAGGCGGGAATCCCCTGGTTGAACATGTGCTAGTCTGGAATAAGTCAAGACTTTATTCATCCCACACAGCTGCAGGGTGGAGGTGTAGTACATCAGGGTGGAGGTGTAGTACTAAAGTGAAGTACATCAGGGTGGAGGTGTAGTACAGCAGGGCGGAGGTGTAGTACAGCAGGGTGGAGGTGTAGTACATCAGGGTGGAGGTGTAGTACAGCAGGGTGGAGGTGTAGTACTAAAGTGAAGTACATCAGGGTGGAGGTGTAGTACAGCAGGGTGGAGGTGTAGTACTAAAGTGAAGTACATCAGGGTGGAGGTGTAGTACTAAAGTGAAGTACAGCAGGGTGGAGGTGTAGTACATCAGGGTGGAGGTGTAGTACAGCAGGGTGGAGGTGTAGTACATCAGGGTGGAGGTGTAGTACTAAAGTGAAGTACAGCAGGGTGGAGGTGTAGTACTAAAGTGAAGTACAGCAGGGTGGAGGTGAGACCACCTACAGACTGGTCAGTGGTTCAGTTCTTCACCTCCCTTGAACTGGATTCTTGGAGTCGTTGTTCCAGCTTCCTCTGCCTCTGAAATATGACCAGTAGGTGGCAGTAATGTCACTGTTAGTTTGGCCAATGCTAACACTTACAGCACGTGTGTGTGTGTGTGTGTTACAGACCTGACCACGTGTCCGTGCCCACTCATCCCTCTGGAGCCACTGACTGAACCTGCACCACAGACCTGTTACACCGACACCTTTCGGTACACCTGTATACCAGGCTACGTGAGGAAAGCAGGAACGTCCAACCTGATCAGATGTAAACGTTTGAATGGTTCTGTGAACTGGACCACGGCCTCGCTGCAGTGCATACGTAAGAAAACTCAACCTCCACACAGACTACCTCTGTAGTACCTCTGTAGTACCTCTGTAGTACTTATATATATATAGGAGTGTACTTATATTACTTTGTCTCAGCTGATCCTAGGAGAAGAGAAACACTGCCAACAGAGGGCGCTGTAACAAGTGAGTACGAATTCTTTATAAACTGAAGAACAGATGCAAGACTACTTCTTCTTTGTGTATAAAGCTGTGGTTCCAGTGGTCCGGTGGTCCAGCGGTCCAGTGGTCCAGTGGTCCGGTGGTCCGGCGGTCCAGCGGTCCGGTGGTCCAGCGGTCCGGTGGTCCAGCGGTCCGGTGGTCCAGCGGTCCGGTGGTCCGGTGGTCCGGTGGTCCATCTCCAGGTCAGAACTCCTGTTGTTCATGTCTCCTCTTTTCCTTCAGGGTCTTCCAGGAGCCCACAGACCCAGAATGAAAGCATTCAGACCAGGGCACCTGAGGGGACAGAACCAGAGCCCACGGACCAGAGGTCACCTGAGGGTCAGACATTATCAGGTGACCAGCCCATAATCTGTGGTTCTTATACTGTCCAAACACACACCTCACAGGTACAGGTGTGGCCCCACCTACTGGACACCCTCTGAACTCACACCTATTAAAATGTCTAAAAAAAAACTGAGGATGGATGGAAACACATCACTGGCTGTGACAACACCTTGACAAATATACCACTGTCCTTCTCCCTCCCCTCCTCTCGCTGTCTGTCTAACTCTCTCCATCCTTCCTTCCCTCCTCTTTCTCCCTCTCTCTCTCTCCTGTCTACTCTTCTGTCACCTCTCCTGTGTGTGTTTCCTGTGCACTTTTCCTCCACCCACCGAGACAGTTCTGTCCTCTACATTTCTTCCACTGTTCTTCACTTCCTCACTTTGCCCAGTTCTGTTCCGTGCAGTACAGTTCTCTTCAGTACAGTTCTGTTCAGTACAGTACAGCTCAGTACAGTTCTGTTCCGTGCAGTACAGTACAGTTCAACTCAGTACAGTACAGTTCTGTTCAGTACAGTTCTGTTCAGTACAGTTCTGTTCAGTACAGT